CCCGCTCCTCGCCGCCGCCGCGCCTCGCTCCACCGTGCGCCGCCGCCGCCGCGCGCTCCGACTGACAAGCGCCGGCCCCGCCGAGCCGCCTTTAAGTACCCAGCGCGTCCCCGCCGGGAGAGGCGCCCTCCTCCGGCCCTGGGGCCGGGAAAGTTGGGAAGAGTGGGAGGGCTCCCCCGAGGGCCGCGAGGGAGCACCCCCCTTCCCGGCTCGGCCGGAGGAAGCTCCACGCGGCCGGCGCTCGGCGGGACGCCGGGTCCCGCGTGGACGCGGCTCCGCCGGTTCGCGGAGACTCGCAGTCTCTGCGCTCTCGGAAACTGGGTTCCCGCAACGAGGCCAAAGGCCGAGCTCCTCTGTGCTCGCCCTGGGCCAGCTGCCCAGGGGGAGGCGGTCATTGTGCTCAACCTAGAACCTGGACCGTGGTTAACTTTCAATGTAACCCATAGGGACTTCCAAAATGGTTAGTCTCCGTTCTCCCCTCCCCTGCGCCCCGCTCTCTAAGCCTCGAAACCTACTCACCCTGCAAAGCGGGCGAGCGGAGAGAAATCTTCCCCCGGCTTCCACGCGAAGGGGCTGTATAGGGTACTCGTGAAACCCGAGACAGCAGAACCTTCCTGCCGACAAAACAGAGGCGCAGAAGAGAATAATTGTCAAATATAAAAAGACTGGTCAAAGAAGGTGTTAACAATTGTGACAAGCTTAGCTTTGAATTCCGCAGTGGGGCGCTGATGACTTTAAGGCTGTTTGCAAAAGCTGCAAATGGTTTTGCAGGAACCTTGGAAGTTCCGGTGTCTTAAAGCCAAAATCAATTCCTCCTCCCCTTTTTTACACCTTTATTTCGGACATCCATGACCTCCTAAATTCCCAACCGACCCTATCGCCTGTCGCCTGTCGTTTCCAGGTCCCTGGAAGCGGTGCTAGACTTGGATGAGGTGGGGTCGGTCGGGGAGAGGTGGGGAGTGAGCAGAGGAAGGAAGTTTAGCACCAGCTGAACACATTGAGCATCTAAATCTCGGAAAAACTTGAAGAGAAATTATAATTAAAGACTAGTAAAAAATGAATTTACATGTTCTCCAAACATACATGAGATAATGTCCATCACTTCTTCCCAAGCTGCAGGAAATTTATAGGAACCTGAGCTGCAGTCTACAAACTGCTCCTCTCAGAAGTCTTAGGGACTCAGGGACTTGCCTGCCCACCCTCACTCACTCTGGGCCCCAGAGCTCACTCCTCACTCCCCCAGGCAAGCAAAGACCCCTGGCACACCTACTCCACCCATCGCCATCTTGCACTACAGAAATCAAATCATTTCACGCTTTTGCTTGAGAAAATCATCACTAATATGCTACATGGCATAAACATTCTTTTTTGTGTGTGCTTTTTAAAACACACAAAAGTATTAAACCCACAATGGGAATGTGTTCTGAACAACTTCAGACGGGCTATGATAAGAGCTAATAATGCACAGGTTGAGAGAGAAGCACTTGGTTAAGAGGAGGGCTCTGGAGCTGCTTCTGCCACTAGCTGTGTGACACTAACAGTGTCTTCATCCCAGAAATGGGACTGAGTATCTACTGTAAAGATATTAGAAGGATTGAAGAGATTGGCTGAGAGCTAAGTGCTCAGTAAGGTTTGCTCTAGTTACCTTCAACCAGAGAACGGCATCCATTTACCGATGCTATGGATTCTACATACCCATCCCTCCAGGATGTGACACTCGGTGACAAGAAGTTCAGAGAACACTGTTAAGGAAAAATGCCTTCTCTGGATTGCACTATGGATTCCCAGAGCCCTGGGCCACCGCCTCCACATCCAGAGGGCATCACAGAGCCTAGAGTTGCTAGCGGAGCAACTGAAGGAACTGTCTGATCCTG